CGGGAGAAGTCGTCAACTACCACCAGAAAGTAACGCTCACGCTCAGGGCCTAGACGAGGGGCTGGGCCCCAGACGTCCAAGTGAAGCGTCTCAAAAGGCTCGGTGGCCGGACGAAGGGAGGAGGAGTGAGGGGTGGCGCGCAGCCTACCCTCGACGCAGGGACGACACGGCGGCGCAGGCGAAGGCGGCAGCGACGGCAAGACACGTGGGAGGCCTAGGACAAGACGCTGACTAGACATAGCGCGCAGACGTGGAAGGGACGGGTGCCCCATCCGGTGGTGCCACAGAACGGTGGGGTGGGCAAGCGACCGGCAGGAGCACGACGCAGCGACTGGAACAGATGTAGGAACCTGACACGACACAGACACCTGGGGGGACGTAGCAACCTGGTGAGACGCGGGGACCCGAACGGGGGGGGGAACCGGGGGCAGTGGCAGTAGGGGGGGCTTCTGGTGCGGCCGCTGGTGCTGCTGCTGCTGCTGCTGCTGCTGCTGCTGCTGCTGCTGCTGCTGCTGCTGCTGCGGCTGCTGCTGCGGCGCACGCGGGCCAGTGTGAAGAGTGTAGAGACCCGAGCCCTGCTCAGCAGTAAAGGTAGCAAGAGGCTGGTAAGAGTCTCCGTCAACACACACCGCAGTCTCTCCAGAAGGCTCAAACCACACACCCACGTGCTGACTCACGAGGGGTCGCACGCCCACCAAGTTCCGGGAGAACGAGGGGACGTGAAACCCAGTGAGAGACCCGGAGGGAGCAGCAGGACACGGTAAAGTGGTAGTGTGACGTGCAGTGACTGGTCCCGTAGTGGGATCAGCCAACGCTACAGAAACAGGCGCAGGAAGTGGTGTAAGTGTCGTGCTGTCCCGAAAGAAGCAGTGGGAGGCTCCAGAGTCCAGTGTGAACGACAGCGAAGCGTCCTCTGAGGTAGTCGCTGGTCTAGAGTCTACACAAGTACCTACACTAGCAACAGGCAACTGAGCAAGACTAGCACCTAAGCTAACAACACCAGAGTAAACAGAGTCAGAAACACTAGAGTCAACAACAGCATACATAGCATGAGGAGCACTAATCAGATCAACTAACTGCTCAGCAGACATGCCCCACAGAGCGGAGCCGTGGCGCTGAACCAGAGGAAGCCAGTCAGGAGCAGGACCGCCAACCCCGTAGGTCAACCGGACCGTGTCAGTGAGCTGAGCAAAGCACTGACCAGGGGGGTGAAAGCGGCCACAAGGGTGGCCCCGACGAGGACCTGTCTGAACCTGGTAGGGGCAGGGAGGGTAAGCAGCACCGCGCTGGGGCTGACGCAGCCCCGACCCCGGAGCCAGCTGCTGACGCTGCTGCTGCTGAGGCTGCTGGGAGGAAAGGGGCTGCTGCTGCTGCTGAAGGTGCTGCTGACGCTGAGCCTGGTACCACGCCGCTGCTCCACCTAGCGGGGCCGGCAGTACAGGAGGCGACTGACGAGCTCGAGGGTCGCCGCCACCAGCAGGTGCAGTGGAGTCACCAGCCGCTGCACGAGGGGTCTCTCCAGACGCTGCACTCCCACCACCGCCAGTCGCAACAGCACCCCCACTACCTCCGCTACCTCCGCCTCCACCTCCACCGGAACCACCTTTCTTGCCCCCCCTGCCGCGGGACCGCGACGCAGTCGTAACAGCAGCCGCAGTCGCGTCAGTAGCGGCAGTGGCAAGAGAGGCAGTGAAGGTGGGTAACTGCGGGACTGTGCACCCGTGGAAGAGTGGGGGGGACACAGTACCAGAGGCGGCAGCTACCGAACGAAGGTTGCTCTCGACGTCCTTGAGTGCAGACTCAAGGACCTCGATAGTCAGCTCACTAGGGTGCTTCAGCAGAAGCGCGTCACGAACGGAGGCAAGGCGGTCAGGGAGGCTAGTGGCGATGAAATAGACAGTAATCGCCATGGGGGGAGGGAGCAGTGCAAGCTGTGCCTCAGTGCAAGCAGCGCGGTAACTAGCGTCGAGCGAGCGGAGGTGAGCGATCAAGTCAGCAGAGCGCTCAAACGAGGCAAGATCAGGAAACAGGAACGGGAGGAAAAGACGGCCGAGAGAGACAGTAGCGGGAGTAGAGTAGCGGGCCTTAATCGCAGTGAGGTACGCAGCAGCGGTGCGAACCTGAGTAAAGTGGACCTCCTCGGACTCAGGGAGGAGGCTGCTGAGTGCGATGCAGGCCGCAGCGTCACGCGACGTCCAAGCCGTCCGGTCAGCGCGCTGACGGGCAAAGCGAGCCGTAGCAGCGTCGTCAGGAGCAGGGCCTAAAGCGGTAGGCTCGGGGGGCTCGGGGAGGTCACCAGTAGCGTGTGACCAGAGGGTCTCGCCCCCCTGGACCTGACTCTCTAACAGACGACGAGCGCGAAGAAGCCAGACGGAAAAGTCAAGGGGTCTACCGTCAGCGTCGAAACGAAGAACTCGCGGAGTCGCCATAGTGAGAACCAACGCGAACGAACAGGCGAGTAACAACCGGGGGGGAAGAGGACTCAGTCGCAGCGGAAGAGCGGGCTAGGGCGACGGGCCAAAACGTAGGGTAGGGCAACGGGCCAGGGCCTAGGGTAGGGCGACGGGCCAGAGCCTAGGGAGGGCGACGGGCCAGGGCCTAGGGAGGGCGACGGGCTAGGGCCTAGGGAGGGCGACGCGACGGGGGAAAGGGCGGGAGCGACGCGACGGGGAGGGCGACGCGACGGGACAGGGCGACGCGACGGGGCAGGGCGGCGCGGCGGAGCAGGGCGACGGGACAGGGCAGGGCGACGCGACGGGGTAGGGCGACGCGACGGGACAGGGCGACGGGACGGGACGGGACGGGACAGGGCGACGCGACGGGACAGGACAGGGCGACGCGACGGGACAGGGCGACGCGACGGGACGGGACAGGGCGACGCGACGGGACAGGGCGACGGTACGGGACAGGGCGACGCGACGGGACAGGGCGACGGGACAGGGCAGGGCGACGCGACGGGACAGGGGGGGAACAGGCGGGCGCGACGCGACGGGGGGAACAGGCGCGACGCGACGGGGGGAACGGGCGCGACGCGACGGGGGGAACGGGCGCGACGCGACGGGGGGAACGGGCGCGACGCGACGGGGGAGATGATGCTAGGCTCGGTACTAGGCGCGGTAACAACTAAACTGGTACGAACGAGAGGTAGGATCAGGCTCGGGAGGTACGAACGGAGAACGGAGGAACGGGATCCCACAGGATCCTAACCTAGCTGATACCATGTCAGAATGAGGAATGGATGTTGCATTGATGTTGGTTGGGGTACATATGACAAACCCTAACTTCTGTACCCCCTAAGACAAACCTCACTACAGGCTACAACATTTGACATCAGCACCGTCGAATGTGAGCGTGGATTTTCACGACAGAACATCATCAAGAGCTGGCAGCGCACGGCTCTCAACGACACGCGGCTCACCGAACTCATGAGCATCCACATGCTCGATTACAACGTGGAGTGGCCAGATGTCGTGGACATCTGGCGCAAGCAGAAGAAGAGGCGGCCTACAAAATCCCCTGCACCCTTCCAACCAGCCAATGACAAGGGCGGGCCAGAGGCCAGTTCGGACGACGAACGGGAGGATGACGTGGCTTAAGATGCGATAGCTAGTGGTAGTAGGTCATTGTGTACAAAGTTTAAAAAATTCAATAATTCTGGCAATGCAACTGCAATAGCAAACACTGGGTAACCACCAGTGTTACAGATGAAAGTTACTCTGAAGTAACAGAGTTTTTAAATTGACAGCACATGTTACACTGACATTTAAGAGCAACGCTCACCAGCCACTCTGGATTTAAGGGTTACGCCAAAAACGCCTCTGGAAACAAGAGTGCTCCAAAACCAAAAAAAAGCCCTGCCGTTGACTCTTTCCAGCAAAATTGTGATTGCCATGCAGTGTAGCCACCACTGCCACAACAAGCCAAGTCAGAAAGAACATTCAGGCAGAAACTTAGAAATATGGAAATCACTCATCACAAATCTCAAATGTGAATTCCACGTACGTACGGTAACTCAGAAAATAACATTCAGGCAGAAACTCTGATCTGATTCTCCTCGAATCAAAATGGCGGTTTGGCACTCCCTCAGGGATCCAACGGACAGCTCTGTTAGTGAAGCCAGGGGTGCAAGCAAGCACGCACACCACAGCTGCCTTTGCAATGGCACACACACCCGCTGTCAGCCACTTCTGTGCCACTACTGCCTCTGCTGTCATGTTACCTACCCACTGCTTGGCAGCACTGCCAGTGCCCTGTGCCCGTGTGACAGCGGACGGAAGGTGCAGTGCAGTGCAACTTGTGGTGGCCCACCCACTGCCCTGGAGGCTGCGAGACTGACTGGCTATGGTGGGTGGACGGGCCATGAGGCAGCGGCACCTATTTGGTGCTGCCGGGGGTGTGGGCAAGATGAGGTAGGGATGGGCGTGGGCATGCATGTTAGCATGTGTGGGGACATGGGTACCGTACAAGCGTTGACCATATGCGGAACGCATGGGCTCGATGATGGGTGTAATGATGGGCGTGATGATGGCATGGCAACGGCGTGGCAGTGGGCATGGTAATGACATGTACATCTGCACCAACATAGCATTGCGCTAACCCCATGCTGCCCCATGCTGTCCCATGCTGTCCCATGCTGCCCCATGCTGCCCCATGCTGCCCCATGCTGCCCCATGCTGCCGCCCGCCCCCCTCCTCTTCCCCACCCATCTGGGGCACGCACGAGAAGAGCAGGTAGCGGTCACCAGGCAGCAGCACGAACGCCTGTGTCTCCCCCACCTCGCACGACTCCCGCCGCCGCGCATCCCGCTTCTCAGCCTGCACGCAGGGAGGAGATGAGGGGAGGAGAGAGACGGAGAGACGGGAGAGGTGGGGCAAGCGGAGAGATGTGGGAAGGAGGGATCGGGAGAGGGAAGAGATGGGGGAAAGAGAGAGATGGGGGCTTTGGTAAGGTGGAGGGAGGGGAGAGGCGGAAGGAGGGTGGAGATAGAGGGAGGGGGGAGATCAGGGCGGGAAAGAGATGGGAGAGCGGAGTGGTGGCGCTAGCAAGCAAGCAGCCGTGTCGTGCAAGCAAGCAGCCGTGTCGTGCAAGCAAGCAGCCGTGTCGTGCAAGCAAGCAGCCGTGTCGTGCAAGCAAGCAGCCGTGTCGTGCAAGCAAGCAGCCGTGTCGTGCAAGCAAGCAGCCGTGTCGTGCAAGCAAGCAGCCGTGTCGTGCAAGCAAGCAGCCGTGTCGTGCAAGCAAGCAGCCGTGTCGTGCAAGCAAGCAGCCGTGTCGTGCAAGCAAGCAGCCATGTCGTGCAAGCAAGCAGCCGTGTCGTGCAAGCAAGCAGCCGTGTCGTGCAAGCAAGCAGCCGTGTCGTGCAAGCAAGCAGCCGTGTCGTGCAAGCAAGCACCCGTGTCGTGCAAGCAAGCAGCCGTGTCGTGCAAGCAAGCACCCGTGTCGTGCAAGCAAGCAGCCGTGTCGTGCAAGCGTACGGGGAAGGCTAAGGAACAGAGCAGGGGGGCAGCATGTACGTACGGGAGAGGAAGCGAAGCTCCAGCAGTTGACGACAGCCCATGGCACACAGGGGGAGGAGGCGGCACTGTGGTGCTTCAGAGTGGCCCTGCATGCTTGCCGCATGGGAATGAGGGGGTGTTTGGGGACAGGTGGGTTCAACAATGGGGTAGCACGCAAACGAATGAGAGGAGCGAGGGAGAGAATGGGTGAAAGAATGAAAGACGGGGAGGATAGGAAGGGGAGAGAATGAAAGCAAGGCGGAGAGGGAGGGTGACAGCGGAAGGATCAATGGGAGAGAAATGAAAGGCAGAGTGGGTGGAGGGAGGGAAGGATACCTGGCAGCATCGATGAGCACTAGGACCTGTAGCAGAGGAAACAGGGAGTGGGGATGCGGGAGGGAGAGAAAAGAAGAAAGAGAAAGGGAGGGAGAGAAAGGGAGTGAGAGAAAGGGAGCGACAGCAAGGGGGTGAGAGAAAAGGAGGGAGAGAAAGGGAGGAAGAGAGAGCGCAGGGAGCAAGAGTAAACGAATGACAAGCGAGTTCAACCCAAGGCAACTAGGAAAGGAGTGACGGCACACAATTTCCCCTAGATGGTACAACAACGAGGTGAAAGGAGTGGCAAGGCGCTGAGGCACACTTGTGAGCTGTTGATTGGCCCACACACTCGCAGCGAGTGAACCGAACCACTGGCTGCTGATGTCATGGGAGGGGTGGCTGATGTGGTGTGCGAGGGTATGTTGCCCAGGGCAGTGTTGAGCCTGCGCGCACACTCGTTCCTGTGATGTCAATAGGTTTGTGCGCGTGGATGCATGGGTGCGTGGTGAGTGAGTGAGTGAGTGAGAGAGTGAGACAGAGTGCGTGTGAGTGAGAGTGAGTGTGTGTGTGTGGGCAGAGAGGAAGGCGGCTACAGGAAACCACTGTTTGCGCAGCAAGAAATGTTCTCATCCTGCTGTTTGCACCATTGCTAGTGCTGCTACTAGCAACAACTGATTGCTGACCGGCAAGCCATCCCATCGCATGCCATGCCTCACACACGTTCGCACCCACCATGGCATAGCTCTTTCACTGCATTGCCATGCCATGCCATGCCATGCCAGCGTCTTACATGTGTCGTGTCATGCCACAAGAAGCTGCTCCGATCCATTCATGCATCTCCCCCGCTGCTGCCATGCCTGCGCTGCCCGCTCTCCCCTCCCCAACCCCTTCCTCCACTCCATCTGCCCGTGCCTTTCCCACCCCACCCCCTGTTCCCTTGGAATCAGAATGGTATGGGGAGATTGTGTCAACTCCACTCCACTCCATATCCTCTCCTCCCCCTGCCCCTCCTCCTCCTTCTCTTGTTTCCATCTCTCCTGCTCCCTCATTGGCCCCCCCTCTCAAACCGCTTGCTGACGTGGCAATCTCGAAGAGCTTGTCAGCATTCGGCAGGCAGGCAGGGGAGAGGGCTCGGTGGATGGCGGAGAAGGGCACGTGGCGGGCTGTGATTGGCTGAGGGAAGTCAGCGGGCTGGGGCACACCGTCTGGAGAAATATGAGGGAGAAGGTATAGTGAAGAAGGGGGAAGGGGGAAGGGGGAAGGGGGAAGGGGCAAGGTGAGGCGCTGCAGAAAGATGAGCTTTGGGGCGCCTCAAAGATTAAAGCGCTCCGGTGCGGTGCGGTGCGGTACGGTCTGTGCAGCTTTGTTTCAGACCGTGAGTACGCATGCACGAACAGGTTCAGTCAAGGCACCATGTGGAGAAGATGATACGTTGCATGATACACACCACGATATGGCGCGGGCTTTGTTGTTTGTTCTCTGTGAGAGCCGGTGGTGGCAGGGGTTACGGTGATCATCGCGCAAGACACAGGACAGTGTGGTGTGATGTGGCGCGGTGGTGTGATGTGGCGCGGTGGTGCGATGTGGCGCGGTGGTGTGACGTGGCGCGGTGGTGGGATGTGGTGCGGTGGTGTGGCTGTGCATTACCGCGTGTGAAGAGGCAGAGGTAGTCCAGTGACGCGGGGATGAGCTCACTCACTCGCTCCAGGACCTGTTGTGGACAGAGAAGAGAGTGTGGAGGTGGATGGAACGAATGACTTTTGAGTTCACTCAAAGGAAGAGAGTGTGGAGGTGGATGGAACGAATGCGATGGCAGGCAGGTGGACGGCAGGACGTGATGCAGAGTGAATGTGCAGTTGGCTTGTGCTCACGAGCGTGCTCTCATCTCAGTCGTGGCCTGCTGCTTCTCACCCCGCACTCATTCCCATGCACCTCCCTGCAAACCGCCCTCCTCCACATCCTCTGTTTCACACCATCTCCCTCCCCTCTCCCCGCTCCACTCGCTCCTTCTACTTCCCCCCTCCACGCCCCACCCACTTATCCTCTCTCATCCATCCCTCACCCACCCCCATCCCCCATCCTGCATCGCCAATCGCGCCATCTCTCTCCCGCACTCCGCATACCCCCATGTGGCCGACGCGCTGACCTTGTCGTGCAGCTTCATGCCAATGCCGGGCTTAAAACCAGGGTCTCACGTAAGAGAAATCATGATCAACTGCAAAACAATTGAAGCTGAGTCACCCTGTTTGAGGTGGCGAAGTCTAGGGGTTGGTTTGACATTTGATTGTGCGACACCTCCCGTTTTTGCCTGTGATGCAATTGCAAAACATTTTGTTGGTACATGGAACTGACAGCATGCTCGAACATTTTTCTGGTGTTCTAGCTTTGGCACCAAACCAGTTTCCGTGCCTAGGTGGTTCGGACACAGACTGCGATTTGTGTTTCCTTCGCTCCCCTCGTCACACCGCTCGTCATTATTTCCACCTCGCCAACCAATCCTAACCAGGGTGAAGTCATCAAGTGCAAAACAAATGATCTACGTGAGACCCTGGTTTTAAAGAACGGCGCACACAGGTCCACACCACACAGATGACTGCCTAAATCACTCTTGAAAATTTCCAAAAGCAATCCCAATCCACCATGCGCTGCTCACTGACTGACCTTGTCGTGCAGCTTCTTGCCAGGCTTAAAGGACGGCGCACACAGGTCCACACAGATGACTGCCGCATCGCAGGGGGGAAGGCAGGGAGAGGGGCGAGTGGGAGGGGGAGGATTCTCAAAGGAGAAGAGTTATTATTGGACTAAGGTGATGGGCGTGCACGAGTGCTGCACAGTACTGCTCGCACCGTACGTTCGGATCTCAATAAAAAAATTCTCAAGGGTTACTTTCCTCACTAGTTGACTGTCGTCTCTTTGCTGAAGACGACTCTCTACCTCTCTACCAACTGCTGCCCTTCTTCATGAGCATGGATCCTATCCTAAGGTGATGGGCGTGCACAAGTGGCTCACAGTACTGCTCGCCCGGTGCTGCTGCTGACACCTTGCCTGGCAGCCCCAGGCGTTGAAAGGTGTCCCTGCCCACCGCCATGCGCAGGTGGCCTGTGTGTGCACAGGCGAGAGGGTGGGTGACGGAGAGAGAGTGAGTGAGGGGTTGTGAGTAAGGAGATAGGAGTGGGTGCGTGTGTGTGTGTGCGATGGATAGAGGGGGAGGGAGAGAGATGGGGCGGGGTACGGGTTGGATGGGCAAACACAGGCGGCCGAGGGAAGAGGGCACAGGGGAGCAGCCGCAATACGAGCACTGAGCACGGTGGCAGAGGCATGTGACATGAGGTTCGGTTCGGTTAAGTTAGGTTGGATTAGGTTTGAAAAGGTTAGCGTGTGGAGTGGATTACCCTATGTGGGTTTACGGTGGCCTGCCCAGTGCCTCATGAGTCATGACATGACGCACGCCCAGCATACCAGAGGGGGTGTCGCTGATAACGTCTGCGTTGACTTTTGAGTCGACTCAAAAGTCATGACGCACACACAGCATACCAGAGGGGGTGATGCTGATAACGTCTGCGTGCGGAAGGGCAGAGGCCGCTGCGTTGAGACTCAGCAGGGCGAACTCAGCTGTGGGTGGAGGGGCGAGGGGTCGTGATGAAAGGGGCGTGATGGAAGGGGCGTGATGGAGGGGGGGAAGGAAAGGGGAGAGGAGGCGAAAGGTAGAGGGAAACGGAGGGAGGGACAGGAGGGTAATCAGGAGATGGGGAAGAGGACGGGGGAGGGGAGGATCTTGGAAGGAGGGGGGAAAAGTGGAGGGAGAGGGAGGGGCAGTTGAGAAGTGGAGGGAGAGAATGGTGGGAGGGAAAAGGGGAGCAGAAAAATGGTGTGAGGGAGCAAGACCAGCATGAGGTGTGGCGTGAACTTGGTGGGATGGGGCTGGGAGACGGTGGAGAGGGTTTGAGTGAGGGAGGGCGGAAGGGCAGGGGGGAGGGCGGTGTGTGCAAGGAGGGGCTTCAAAGAACACCCCTTCATGCCCCCAAACTCGTACCGTTCCCACTTCCCCGACTCGCCTTCCCAGCTCCCCTTTTTTCTACTCCTCTTTCCCTCAAACCCCTAGCCCTCAAAACCCAACCCCTTTCCCCTTTACCCCTCCTCCCCCCTCCCCTCCCCCCACCGTTGCGCGCGCGCACGTGCGTGTCCAGGAAAGCGGGCTGCAGCAGCGCGCTGAGCGGCCCGCGGATCATGTGGTAACCCGCAGAGGTGAGTGTGTCCACCGTGGCAGCCAGGGCCGCCACCGCCGCCTGCGGGGAGGGAGAGAGGAGAGAGCCAGGGCCGTGGCAAGAGCGGGAGGGGGTTGAGGAGGGAGGGAGGAGAGGAGGGGAGGAGCGGAGGGGGGGACGGAGAGGCGGGCGGAGAGGCGGACGGAGAGGCGGCAGGGGGTCGGCGGGGTGTGGGGAAGGGGTGGAGAACGTATGGAATGGTCGGGGCATCGGAACTCAAACCGCGCCATTGACTTGTGGGGAGATGCGGAAAGATGAGCGAGGGGCGACGACAGACGCTGCAAGCTGCTTGGCTGCCGTACCTGCGCCGCAGGCTCGGCAGGCGCGGGGAGGGGCAGCAGCAGCTCGAGCGCGCAGCGGAGGGGGAATTCGGAGAGGTCGCGGTGGTGGCGCTGCGCGGGGTGCGCGAAGGACGAGCAGCGCAGCGTGAGCGATGGCACCCACCCCATTACAAGCCGCTTCGATACCGTCGGTTACGGGTTCACACGGCGCTTCCGGCGGGAGCGGAGAAGGTAATACGGAGGACAACGACGGGGGAATGGGGGTGGCAGGATGAAAGCGAAGACGGAAGACGGCGCGTGGCACAAAGAGAAGAGAAGAGATGCGCAGACCGCGGGCTGCGCCTGAGTGAGGGTGGAGTGCTGAGCTAGTGGTGAGGAGCAGGTATGAACTGTGGGGGTTGCAGGAGCCACTGAAACAGGTGTCTCAATACTGACAGAAACGACGAGGCATCTTCATTGCCGCAATCATAAAAGGTACTTTAAGGGCGTGTTCCTACGGCCCCTTATCAGGGCAACCTCTTATCAAGCTCGCTACTTTTCCCCCTGAAAATTCCCTAAACCCGAAAACCCTCGCTACTTTTACCAGGCAAGGCTGACAAGAGGTTTGCCTGATAAGAGCGTAGGAACACGCCCTAAATTGCAATAGATTAGCCATGCTGTAGTTTTCCAAGTGTTAGATTTGAACATTTATGCATGTGAGATAATCCGTATGTTCCACAGAATAATGCGTTGTCGGCCTTCCGTATTTTGGGATGGCCTGGAAAAATACTGAGTTGTAGTACGCAAATTTACGCTGGAAATCAGACAGAAAAAACCACCTAAAATATACGCTTATATATAATTCAGAACTATCAGACCTCAGACAAATAAGTCTTACAGGTATGTGTTCCGAAGTAAATCGGGTTCATAAACACCTACAAATGTTTTCCGCTTCCGTAACTTCCAGAGTTGGGAGCTACAAACGGAGACATTTGAGAAGGTTCTCCAGCCACTGGTGCTCCGCCAGGCGCCATGTGGCAAGCGCAGAGCCAGCTTCGCCCGTACAGTCACATTCGAACATTCGTCCACCCCCCTCCCCTCACCCCTGTTATTCGCACAATACCGCTGCAATAAACTACCCCCCAACCTTCGCCCTTCCACCATCTCCCCTTCTGCCAACAACACCACCCTTCTCGCCATCCCTTCGATTCCCCGTCTCTTCACCCTCATCCGCGTACGTCGCGCTTGCCCGCCATGGCCAAACGCCTGATCCCGCTTCTGGATCGCGTGCTCGTCGAGAAGATCATTCCGCCCAGCAAGTCCATCGGCGGGGTCCTGCTGCCCGAGTCAGCCACGGCATCGCAGGTGCGCCTCCCGCTCCCCTGGTTACCATCGTTTGTTTGATTTTCCCGCCGAATCCGCCGACGTTGTCGCGATGAGCGGATGGATCGCGATCGCGATGCGAGTTGGTAGTTCGCGTTCGACAACCGCGTGCTGTGAATCTCCATGATCGATCTCCTTCGCATCCCTCATATCTCTTCTGCTCATCCCCATGGCCCTTGTCTCTCCCTTTCTCCGCTGTTCCTCCTCACTCCCCCTCCGCCTTCCGCCTCCCCCTCCCCCTCGCGCGCAGCTGAACACGGGCAAGGTGGTGGCGGTGGGCGCGGGGGGGCGCACTCGGGACGGCACGGTGATCCCGACGGCGGTGAAGGAGGGCGACACGGTGCTGCTGCCAGAGTACGGCGGCAGTCAGATCAAGCTCGACGACAAGGAGTGAGTGCTGCGCCCTGCCGCTGCTGCTGCTGCTGCTGCTGCAAGTTGATCGTGCCGTTCGCGGCGTCGCCGCAGTGCGCTCTATTTGTGACGCTGTATGGGGACACACTTGTGCCCTTGCGTCGTTCCTGCGACGAATCCCGATGAGGTATAGAGCTTGCGGTCTATCTGTGACAGCTCTCCACGCAGCCGTCACCCTAGCGTGCACCACGTGTGCGGAAAACGTCCTTTTCTTTCCTCTGCTCTGCCCCGTCCTTGATTGGGGCTCGAGGATCGGGGAGATCTAATTGGTGCGGCTCATGCTGCGTGGGGGATCGGCCGCCTGGCTTCTTGCTCTCGTCCTTGGCTTCCTTTGACAGCCTCTGCTTGCTCTATCTCAACTCCCCCTCCGCCGTCCGCCCCCCTTTCCCCCCGTTTCCCCCCTTTTATAACCCTCGAAGACCTTTCTCAAACACTTTTTTACTCTCCCTCCTTCCATTCCTCCCTCCCTCCTCCCTCCTTCCCTCCTCTCCCTCTCGTCCTGCTCTTCTAGGAACTTGTTTGCCTTGACATACATAGCCTCCCCTCTCCCCCCCCTCCCTCCCCTCCCTTCCCTCCACCCCCTCTCCACCCCCGGGTTCGTGTTCTCTCCTCTCTTGCTCCCTCTGTCCCCTGCTCTCTCCCCTCCCCCCCCCCCCCCCCCCCTCCCCCTTTCATGCGGCCACAATCCAGGTATGTGCTATTCCGTGACGATGACATCTTGGGAGTGCTCAAGGACTAGCCGCCCACCTTCCTACCTCTTACTTATACGCACCGCCCGCCTCATTCCACGGGCCTTCCTGCTCTTGTTTCGCCAGCCGCGAGAGGTCCATGTTACGGTAGGTCACAGCAGATGGCGTGCCTGCTGCACTTGCCAGCACAACGTGCGCTGTGCTGGTCGTAGGGACGTTTAGAGGCTGTCATGTGCCGTGGGGGCATAGTTAGAAGATGCTGTTGATTCAAAACAGCATCTGGGGCAGTTGCGTGGTGGTGTCTGGCAGGGCGGGAATGGTGTGCTACAGACAATGGGTAGAGCGCCGTTTCTGGTGCTGCTTATGTCTGGAAAGTTGGTAGGTTTTCTCACACATAGCATTTGTATTTTCTAGTGTTATTGTTAGGGAGTGGGGCTGAGGTTACGGACAATCTCCAATGGTCTTGACCTAGCCTGGTGTTTCAAACATAGGCAGTCTGAAATTGCCCTTGACGATGTCTTTCAGCCAGAAATGTGCACGAAACATTGACACATGGATTCTAGTTTCGAAGACCATGAAAAATACCGAATAAATAATTCTGTTGGAAACAAAGAGTGATGGTCCACTTGTGACAAGCCTACCTTACATCCGTTGAGACATTTGGCAGCCAATATACATAATTTAATACACCTAATGAACCTACCGTCATCGCCCGGATATAAGACATATATGTCTTATCTCATACACTAAAAAAAATGCTTGGGTTATCTTGTATTTGGGGAGGTTTTGGGTGTCTTATAAGTCTTATAAATGGAAACCTTTTTAAACTACTTAGAAATATTTTCACGCATCTTGAAAAGAGTTTCTCATTAAGAGTATCGATGTTGCGAAATTGCCACTTCGGCAACCATTGTTCGAGACGCCACGTCATCCCGAATACTTGCAGAGTCAAATTTGGTAGTATGTAACTCAGCACGTGGCAGAATTCGCGTGTCGCAAGGGTAAAAATGTACGCAGTATTTCAATTTTCACTATAATACATTGCAGTTTCGATTATAAGACACATACCGTAATACCCCGGATAGAAGCGCACCTGCGCTTATAATAAAACATTGTTTTTTGGGGGGGTGCGCTTATAATTGAGTCAGATTTATAAGCATATGCGCTTGTATAAAGAGAAAAATGAAAATCAATTTTGAACACACAATTGTGAAGCTCTCAGTAGGGCGAATTCAACCGACCATGCACCAAGTGGGATCGTGCATGGTTTTCAGGCAGAAACCGCCGCGGTTCGGTTTCCCGCCGCACAATGTTGTCTGGAAACATCGAATGTGACAGCCGTGATGAGGATGTTGTCGTGCGGCCCAATCAGAGTCGCATGCGCTGCGTGGCATGTGCATTCGGGCAGAACCATCTCGAAGGTTCGGCAAGATTCCCTGCCAGCGCAGCGTAGATGCTGCCACGCAGGCGCCTCTACGGGAGTGGGCGGGGGTTTCCTGCCTGTCATCGACGAGGAACCCAAGCCGCCACGCAGCAGGGGTCCCCGTCGTTGCCCATTTCTTCACCCTCGTCTCTAATTTTTTCATTCAGTTTCCTGTCTAGCCCGCCTGGCAGGCGAAGCCATGGCGGAATTTAGTGGGACTCACGTCCTCTTCAAGAAGAAACCACGCCGCACATGGCGACTTACCGAGGACGGGTGGTATACCTGTGAGCCACCAGCGCCTCCAGTGCCACCGGATCCCCCTGCACCCCCTGCTCCTCGTGCTCCCCCTGCACCCCCTGCTCCACCCGCTCCTCCCGCACCTCCCGCTCCTCCGAATCCGCCTGCTTTTGCTACGGCAGGTGCTCACCAACGGCCCGTGCTCCAACTGTATTTACCAGCCACGTTCGATGAATGGTTGCCTGAAGCGGACACACCCAAGGCCCCCGATGCATGCATCCAAGCTCCAGCGACTGCACCACGGTGGGGACAACCAGAAGTCTGCGCGTGGGATGAGTCGGCTGTGGGCGCCGACGATGATGTGGCTACCGACAAACATGACAGCGGCGCCGGCGAAGCTGGAGGCGACGGTGAAGCTGGTGGCGACGGTGCAGCGGGCGACGAGGAAGACGTGTTCCCCGACCGTGACGAGGACGAGGATGGTGTGGAGTCCTGGTGGCGCGACGCACCACGCGCGAAGATGCCGGTACCGACGTATCCGCCCCTCAACAAAAAACGCCCCCACCCGTCTACCGAGAATCGAGATGCCCGCCCCCCCTCCCCCAGGCACAAGCTGAATCAACATAAGCGGCAGTGCTCCACCGCCCAGGAGAAGTTGAGGTGGCTCGTGCGGCTCGAGCTTGCGGCTTCGGTGAGCGAAGTGGCGCGGGAGTCAGGCATACACCGAAAATGTGTGACAGAATGGAAAGCCCAAGCGGAGGCGCTCAAGGCTGCACACAGAGCACGGATGCGACTTCACGGGCGCGG